ATTTTTGGGTGAACTAACCCTTTAAGCAATAACCAGTTGGCTTTTAATTAGTCATGAGATACTACGTTGAATGAACACATGCAGATAGGAAAAAAAGTTAGTAAATAAAGTCTGTTTTTCCACTCAAAGCAATTGTGTCAATTAGGAAACAGTGCATGAGTTTTGTGGAGTAATTTTATGATGGTTTTACGTTTTTTGACGCCTCTGTATGGAAAAGAGCAATCTGTACATTAACAAAAAAATCTTCCTTGTTCCAAAAAAGAGAGCAAGTCATATGGGTTTGGGATGACATAAGGGGAGAGTAAAAGATAACAGAATCATTTTTGTGTGTACTGTACCTATAACTACCAAAGCAGATTTTACAAACAAAATATATATTTTTTTCATTTTAGGTGAGTGATATTACCACACATCGGAAAAGAACAGCTCTTAAGGGATTACCTATTTTTCTGCGTGAAAAGCCAGCATGTTTTCTCAAGATGTGCCTGGTAATTTACCATTTTCATACCCTATTTCTAAATCCTTTTTTAAAATATATTTTACATGTATTCAGTTTACTTACACAACAACGATGATGATAATTATTGTATGTAAATTTACACTTCCATTAATACCTCCCATCCATTATTCTCCCAGGATACTGATCCCGAGGACCACAGCACCAAAGGTGTAAAGATCGGAATCCTTACTGTGGTCGAAGATGATGTTGCCGCTGTCACATCACTGCCAACTGTAATCAACCTGGCCATAATCCTGGAAGAGGCCATTGTGCTTCAGGACATTACAGATCTGCCAGCAGCATTTGCATACTTGTTCGGTCTCTTGTATGCACTCAATATGGAGTATCCAAAAGAACTCAAGTATACTTTCGAAGTAATACAAAAGATCTTCATGGATCTTGGTGGTACCTGCTCTGCAAGAGTACAGTCATTGAAGTCTAAACTTTGCTAAATGGACAAAGGCATCTGAATGACGTTCTTCCACTGGCCATTCTTTATTTTATACTTTTATAGTTAATGACTAAAAAAACAATACTGTTTTATTTCAATGTATTAATTTATGTTAAGTATTCATTTGTTACAGCCGTTGCCTTAAAGAGATAGTTCACACAAAAAGGAAAGTTCTTTCATCATTTACTCGCTCCCAAGTTGTTCTAAACCTGTGTGAACTTGGGGGTGAGTAAATGATGAAAGAACTTTCCTTTTTGTGTGAACAATCTCTTCAAGGCAAAGGTTTTAAAAAGTGAGTACTTAACATTAATCGATACATTGATATTTTTTTAGTTTCATTCTCCTAGTGTTTTTTTTTTTTTTTCTCAGGCCGAGCTAATTGTATTTGATTTCTATGTAGACACTGGTACTTCCAAGGCCAAGAGTGGATTACAGGCCTATCATTGTAATTGTAGTTTCAATGTTGATGTTCTGACAAAAATGTACAGTGCATTTATAATCGAGTAATGTTTGTGGTTTACTCTGATGCTTTTACTTGTTTTGGGTTCTTGGACACAATAGTAACTTAGTTTTGAGGAACTCTTAGGTTGATGTTAAAATATGCAATATAGTAGTTTTCACATAATAGTTCCTTTAAAAATCAACCAAAAATGATAAATACATGTGCAAATGTGCTTCATGCCACAAGACAGCTAACGTATTAAGGTATAATTAACACTGGATTTCTTTAACATGCATTATGTACCATGCATTGAGCTCAGTGTAAAATGCATGGAGTAAAGAAGTTCAAATAAAAGACTTGGTATGTCCTTGTGCATTGGACACAAACTTTCAATAATACATTTATTTATTTAGACTATTTAAATAATATAAAAAAATTGTCTATGCCTATAGATAATAGGCCTATTTGTGTTCAGTAAACAAAAAATATTTTGTTCTGTTATTCATTAGGTAAACATGACTAGTTATGTTGTGACAACTTGTGATATTAATGTAATATTTTAAGTTGGGTGGACTTTAGTCCCTGTTTGTTAAGTTTACTCAAAAAAGCGCTTGCGATAAGTTGCCTTATTTTTTTAAGTTGACACAACTTTTTTTTTTTACAGTGTACATGTGGATATTCCAGATGAACTTGAGGAGTGCTGTTTGGTCTTGGTCTTGACTTGGTCTCGGTTTAGGTGGTCTTGACTACAACACTAATAGCGACATATAATTATGTGTTTTAAGCTCTGAATTGAATCCACCGGAAACTCCAGGACTATTAGATTTCAAAACACTTATGACAGACATCACCACCAGTCTCAATTTAATGAAAGTGAATGAGGGCTGAGACTGGCAAGCTCTAAAATAACAAGAAAAAGCACCTTAATTCTTTTTTTCATAAAAAGGTCCATATGACTCATGCGTTAAATATAAATTGTTCAATCTATGCCATTATTCAAAGAAAATCTTTACATCTGCTCAATCAGCTACCACGCATGCTAAGCAGCACTATTTTATTATCATTGAGATATTATTAGTTTACTAGTTTTCCATCACAATTTTAACTTTAGTTAAAGTTTTAGAAATGGTGTTGTGTGTTTTTGTAATTTTTTATTACTATAATTTAGTTTTATTATTATTATTATTATTATTATTATCTTAGATTCAGTTATATCAAATTAAACTAAATGAAAATGAGAAATGTTGGTTTAATTGTTTTGTATATTTTATATAACCTTAATATATAATGTTTATTTTATTCCATGTAACTTTTTTTCCCCCTTTTCTTTCTCTTTAATTGAGTCGGTTGATCCAGTGGTCACAATGAGGGGAAGATTGTGAATAAAATCATGCTAAGAATATAGATGCTAATAATATAGCCTATGAATTGAATCGATTCCTTTCATGATCATAGAAATCTCCAGTTGCTATTGAATTACAAATGTTCTCATTTTGTTTTCCATGGAAGAATAAAACATTTGGGTCCCACTTTATATTAAGTGGCCTTAACTACTATGTACTTTCATTTAAATTAATAATTTGGTACAATGCATTTACTATGTACATACATGTTTTTACATTGTACTTATATTTTAAAAATACCTGCATGTAATTGCATCTGTAATTAATTTCTGTAATTACATTTATAATTATGCTGTTGACCCATCCCTTACATCTTAACCCACCGTTAAACCTACCCAAACCACCAAACCAGTCCCTATCCTTACTAGTATCTCACCTCAATAGCAGCAAAAGTGTTTTGCAATACATGAACAATAAGTACATTGTACTTATTTTTTGATGTAAGTACATAGTAGTTAAGGCCACTTAATATAAAGTGGGACCAAGATTTGTAACAACATAAATGATGACAGAATGTTCCTTTAAACTTAAAACAGTGAAAAGAAATAAAACTAAAAAGCATAAATACTGTATATAATAAACAAATATTTCAATGAACTGTATTTATATAATCAGATAAGTTTGCCTGGATTAAATAATAATGATAATAATAATAATAACAAAACTAAAATAAAAGAATTCCAGCCTCTCTCTCTGATACAAGTATGAGTAACTGTTTGTAGAGAGGCCTTCATTTAAATGCTTGTCATTCATTAACTGATGTAGCCTATTGTAGTAATGTTGTCTCTGGTATTCTGGTCTGTGAGCGTATATGCGTTCAGGGGGTGTGACTTTGGACGGTGATTGCAGGGAGGGTGCGACGTTCGCTTTCAGTGCTATCAGGCTAGTTAGCATTTTCCAAGATCTTCTACTGCACCTTTAAATATTCAAAAAGATCGTGTTATGTTCTGTGATTGCTGTTAATAAATCTGTCAGAAAAAAATATGCTAAAGTTTCACCTTCAGGTGTACAACAGCCTGGCAGCCTTTTATAAAAATTAACCATGGTTTTCTTACAGTAACCACAGTATTTGTAGTAAAACTGCAGTAACCACAAATTTACCATGGTAATAATTATAATACATTTTAGTACTTATGTAACACCATGTTTATTTTTCATGAGGCCCATGGTAATAATAATAATACATTTTAGTACTTCTGTAACACCATGTTTATTTTTCATGAGGCACCCTCAAAGGTGCAGCTATGTAAGGGTGTACTCACACTAGGCGTTTTGAACCGTGGCCGAGTGCGTTTGACCCCCAAAGCCCGGTTCGTTTGACTAGTGCGAGCGCTCGGGCGCGGTTCGTTTAGCCGGCCCTGGCCCGGTTCGTTTGACTAGTGCGAGCGCTCGGGCGCGGTTCTTTTAGCCGGCCCTGGCCCAGTTCGTTTGACTAGTGCGAGCGCTCGGCCGCGGTTCGTTTAGCCGGCCCTGGCCCGGTTCGTTTGACTAGTGCGAGCGCTCGGGCGCGGTTCGTTTAGCCGGCCCTGGCCCGGTTCGTTTGACTAGTGCGAGCGCTCGGGCGCGGTTCGTTTAGCCGGCCCTGGCCCGGTTCGTTTGACTAGTGCGAGCGCTCGGGCGCGGTTCGTTTAGCCGGCCCTGGCCCGGTTCGTTTGACTAGTGCGAGCGCTCGGGCGCGGTTCGTTTAGCCGGCCCTGGCCCGGTTCGTTTGACTAGTGCGAGCGCTCGGGCGCGGTTCGTTTAGCCGGCCCTGGCCCGGTTCGTTTGACTAGTGCGAGCGCTCGGGCGCGGTTCGTTTAGCCGGCCCTGGCCCGGTTCGTTTGACTAGTGCGAGCGCTCGGGCGCGGTTCGTTTAGCCGGCCCTGGCCCGGTTCGTTTGACTAGTGCGAGCGCTCGGGCGCGGTTCGTTTAGCCGGCCCTGGCCCGGTTCGTTTGACTAGTGCGAGCGCTCGGCCGCGGTTCGTTTAGCCGGCCCTGGCCCGGTTCGTTTGACTAGTGCGAGCGCTCGGGCGCGGTTCGTTTAGCCGGCCCTGGCCCGGTTGGAAGAGTGTGAGCGCTAACCGCGCCGGAGCACGGAACAGTTACTATTTTGTGTGCGCTACTGTCATCATTACGACCGCAAACATTTATTACTACTACTGCACTACACTCTTCAATTCATTTAATTTAATCAAGTATATTTAGGTTTATAATGGCTCTGGTTCTTACCTTATTGATGAACAGGAAATGTAGTTTGCGAGTAAAGCTGCAAATTATTTCATTAACGTCAACTGCTTCCGTAATAAGTTTCTGATACATAAGTGAAAATCAATGCACGGCATAAATTATAAATTATGAATTATTCAGCAGAATATTAGCGAAAGT